AGAAGAAAACAAAAAATACAAGAACACTCAGCGAAACACTCGAGATAGCTACACGCAGTTGATATTTGTGGTTTCCACAAACAATTATTAGTTAGGTTCTAATGGAAAAATCCGCGAACGACTGAGGTCGCGAACTATGAACCGTGACTTCGCAGGGGTCGACTGTAATGAATAAATAAACTGAAAATTCTATTTAACAAAGCATTTGGATGGGCCATAGGAAAGTGGGAGGTTTTACGAGAATATATGACATCCAAACAGCATTTGTGCACCATGTAATACTGTGTGTGCTAAAAGTTATATTGCATTAGTATTAATGCGTAACCATATCTTTTCCCCACATTCTTCAGAAGTAAGGCAGCACTAGACTGAAGCAACCAATTCTGTAACTAGACTGTACTTTTTAAACCGAAGAGAAACTAGTATTCTGTGAACACTGTATTTTATATTAAAGTGACACTAAACTCAGGATTTAAATCTTAAAAATACATTCAAGCACCTTAACTATTATTAAAAATGTATCTTATTTGTGTATCACTCAGCTGTAGATCCTCAAATCATCTCTGTGCTGATGTTGTCCTTGGTTCTAGAGGGTGACTACTTTTGTTCCCCTTGGTCCCTGTGTGTGTTATAAAGTAGCCACCACTCCAAAAGGTCACTCCAGTGATGGACTACAACCTCAGGTTTAGTTTACTAATTTGTATGGAGATTGTAGTCCATCACAGGAGTGAGCTTGGAGCGGTGGCTACCTTACAACACACAGGGACCATGGAGAACAAAAGTAGCCACCCTCCAGAAGGAAGGAGAGCATCAACACCAATTCTACAGGATCTACAGCCGAGTGGTACACAAACAAAGGTCATTTGTTTTGTTGCAGGCTAGCTGGCAAGTGTGCTGGGGAGTTTTTTGTGTGTTTTGTAATGATTTGAGGATCTACAGCAGAGTGATACACAAAAAAGATACAATATTGTTAATAGGGTACATTTTTAAGATTTAACTCCTGAGTCTAGTGTCACTTTAATGATGTACATTCCCATATAATGAACAGTATTTTAGAACGGATACAAGAAGACAGTTCCATTGGTATGTGGGTAACAGTTGTGTCATATGATTAGCTTCCCATTGGTATGCAGTGTATAGCTTGTAGATGTAAAATCACAAGTTGTAGTGGTATGCAGCTGCATAACTTCTAGAAATGAATCTCCAAAACACACCAGTATGAAGCTGCATAACTTCCACAAATGACATTAGAAAGGACCCTTATATAAGTGTTTCTAACTGTTCATTCAGGAACTCTCTGATCAAGGCAGGAGTAAATAGCATGTTCATAGTCTTTATTACTAAGGAAGCACTGCAGACAATATTGGTAATGGGTATCTACGGTCAAAAGATACAAATACATTTTTTTTTCCATATTCAATTTCCATAAGTTCTATCCCAATCCTAATAACCATAGTGATTTAGAAGTTTGTAAACCCTTTTATTGAAGATGCCCATAAGCTGTACTTCCTCAATGCACCGACACACTTTCACTCATACCTGTAAATATGCACTTCCTTGTGCCACCTCTCTCAGAGAGCCTGCCTTTTAATCTACAACTCAACGTCTGAACACTGTAACATTATCCTTGCTTGCTGGAAGCAATGCATTATGGCATATGTAGTCTTGAGAAATTGAGGTTGGATCACATCAAGCAACAGGGAAAGAGGTAAACCAGGAAGTTGTTGAAAGTGAGGGCCAAATGGAAGACAGCACTCACTACACTTTCAAGTAAGCTCTGATTGCATTATCCAAAACAACTATAGTACGTATTCCTTTTACAATGCTGACGTTATAACAGGATTTGCTTTGACTTTGGAACTCTTTTAAGAAGGCATGGCAATTCTGACAAACTAAATGAATATGGAAGAAAGACTATGGTAAAACTGATCACTGAAAGAGGAGCACATTTACTAAATATAAACAACTTCTCAGCTTATTTATCCATATTTGAGACTGGAGGGCATATTTATGAAGCAGGAAATGTGACATTTACCAAATAGTCACTGCAGGTGAATCCATCAGCATTTTAAAACATATTCACCAGGAAGATTCGCCTGCACAGAATGTTTTGGTGAATGGCACATTCACTGCTTTATAAATTAATCCCTGGATTTTTAAAACTGATAACTACATCTCTTGTTTTAAATGTTATGTCACAGTCACACATATAAAGCAAACATGGGTGAAAAAGCAGCATTATCTAACGCAAAGGGAAATGAGCAGGGACTATAGGGTGCCAGCACATGCAATATATCTACTATTTTATATCCTAGCTCTCCAGAGCCCCAGCAGTGTGGCTATAATGTGGCTATTACGCCATATACTGCACATTTAAAGAAAACCTGTGTAACAGGCGTTAGTAGAGTATCATTGCATCAACAATACAGTGATTCTCTGTACAGACCCAGAAAGAACCAAAGTCCATAGTTTTAACACAAAATCAGCACTTGAAGGCTTCTTTCAATACTTTTTAAGAAAAAGCATGCCCTCCAGGGACACAAGCACTCAGAAAAAAGTAAAAGCTGCCTGTGATGGCGGGGCGGCGGGGTTAGTGCCAATTTTTTTTACTTTTCTTTATTTTAATTTTTTCTTTAATTATTTCTTCTTATTTTTTAAATTTTTATATATTGAATTATTTTTTTATCAATTAAATATTTTTTTTAATCTTATTATTGTTTATTTTTTATAATTATTTTCTTATTTTTTTAATCA